CTTCCAACTCCACACGGCTCGCCTCGGCAGCCGTGACAGTACGAACCGGCCACTATGGACCCAGCAGCAGTCAACCCGCCCGAGGAGCTCCGGGAGGACATTATTTACTCGGTAGACAAATTCATTAACTTATGGCTGGAGCATGAGGCGAGAGAATTCCGCCAAGGCATAGCTGTTCGGCTACAGCGCTTAGTTTCTGGTCTCCCCTGGTTGCTCAGCTCACTTCACCCGCTCACACAGAATTTTGTTCTGAACGAGCTTCATCTTCTTCCGCTTGCTACCACCCACCCTGCAACTCATGCTTCCCTCCCTGACCCGACGGAGAGTGTTCTGCCCGGCCCGTCGGTCCAGCCTTCAAATGGGAAACGACACTCAAGCCGTCGACGCCCCTCGCCACAGTCGGACCCTGGGATATCAGAGCGGCCGACTGTGGTGAGTAAAAAGGATAACAGCTCCGATTTGAACTTTGAGACTTTTTCTTCTGGGGTTGTTCGGGGTGTGTCAGTGGGAGCTAATTCGCAAAGCTTACCTACCTTCGTGGTAACCGATCTCTCCCAGGTTGGCATTTTTAAGACTTCAGTGAAAGCAAAGGGCTGTTGTTCTTCTGTTTCTTCTGAACCTGTTAAACCCATGTCAGCTAACCCAGGGTCTGCTAAAACTGTGGCATATATCCCAGAGACAATTAACACCAGCTCTGATAATACCAGGACTGTTTATTCTTTTGAACTGCAACCTGAAGCTCAGGTAGCCGCCCGGCCTCAAGCTCAGGTAGCCGCCCGGCCTCAAGCTCAGGTAGCCGCCCGGCCTCAAGCTCAGGTAGCCGCCCGGCCTCAAGCTCAGGTAGCTGCCCGGCCTCCAGCTCAGTCTCCAGTTCCACCACCGTCATCATCCCAACCATTGTTTCAGTCACCCTCAGTTCAGCCTCCTGTTCAGCAGCCACTAGCCCTGCATCCTGTGTCACTTGCTACTCCGGTACAACAAGCTCAGTCAAATCAATCTAAAAGGAACTGTGTTTCATCAGTTTGTTCTAAGCAGAGAGACAAACCTAATGATAATGTAATCATTCCTAAAAAGCTGGCCAGTTCAGAGACTGTGACACACTCCAGGGCCTCCCCAGAGGCTGAGTTTCAGCCCTCAGCCCACTCTGGACCCCTGGAGGCTAGGAACCCAGCTGAGGACTGCACCGGGCTGTCACTGCCTGAGCAGAGTCAATGCTCAGGGCAGCTGCAGCCTGCTATGTGTTTGCCAGGGGCCACTGCGCCTGCTGGTTCTGTTCTGTCCCTGCCAGAGGTCCCCGCGCCTGCTGGTTCTGTTCTGTCCCTGCCAGAGGTCCCCACACCTGCTGGTTCTGTTCTGTCCCTGCCAGAGGTCCCCACACCTGCTGGTTCTGTCCTGTGTGTGCCAGGGGCTCCAGTGCCCACTGGTTCTGAGACTGTTTTCGCTGGGGGGCCCGAGGAGCCCGTCCAGCCCCAAGACTTGTCAGCTGGAGGTTCAGGAGAACCTAGCCAGCTTCCTGCCTCGTCAGCTGGAGGGCCCGAGGAGCCTGTCCAGTCGCCAGCTGCAGCCTCATCATCCTCGCCAGCTGCAGCCTCATCATCCTCGCCAGCTGCAGCCTCATCATCCTCGCCAGCTGCAGCCTCATCATCCTCGCCAGCTGCAGCCTCATCATCCTCGCCAGCTGCAGCGCCCTCATCAGCGTCCGGTCCAGCTTCAGCGTCCTCATCAGCTTCGCCTGGTTCAGCTTTTGTGTCGCCTCGTCTGGTCCAGCCTCCGCCTCGCCTGGTGCTGCGGGGGCAACGCAGCCTTCAGGTTCCCTACTACCACCTCCACATCGTCGGTCATCTGCCAGGCCGCTTTTTGGGCATATATATATTTGGCCGACCCGGAGGCCGACAGCGCCGGAGGCCAAATCAGTACAGTGACATAGTGTTTTCATCTGCTGAAAATCAAAATTTTTTTAAGAAAAAAAAACAGGAACATGGCTTTGGTGTGCTGGCAAAACATACTACCTAAACTTGTTATGATCTATTAAACTTCTTTTTTCTTTTTGTCACATGCACATGTTTTATCCACATGACATAACCCAAAAACCAAAGAAGGAACCTGGTGTCCAGTGCAGGAAAGGTTATTAAGTCCAATCTCATCATGATCTGATGATGAGATCATGATTCCTTACATATGACAGACTGACACCCACGATAGTAAACATGAGCTTATTGCGATAACCACAGCTTGTCCTTTTGGTACTTCAGGTTTTGTACTGACAGAACTACTGATACAACAGCACTCCGACGCAAAGCCAAGAGAATTGGTTGAAAGTAGATCTGTGGTAATGCAAAGATCAGAGAGGCTGGGCATGAACTCACACTGGGAAAAGGAACACGCCTGCTGCTCTGATCAATATGATTTTTGAAGAAAACTTTGTGTGAGAGAGATCACTGCTAAAAAGTGTTGACAACAACAAGTTAAACCTTCGATCAAGCTTTAATGATCTTCATGGCCTTCATGGGAAGATATTGGGAATATAAAGCTTAAAAAAAATAAAAAAACAAACAAAGTCTTAATGCAATGTGATTATTAGGGAAATGTAAAAAAGAAACAAAACTGTGAGTTGGTGAGGTTACTGTGTTCAGTGGTCTGTGTCAGAGTTTCTTCCTCTTCAACAGCTGCAGTCAGTTCCTGCTGTAACAGCTCAGTTTCTCTGCAGTCTGACTGAGGGAGGTTTTTGTACGACTACAAATCACTGTGTGAACACCCGAGCACTGTTTATTTCATGTAAACTCTTACAGTAGTAAACTGCTGCATCTTCAGCCTGAACTCCACTGATGGTCATAGAGAAGTCAGAGCTGCTTCCACTGCCACTAAATCGAGTTGGTGTTCCTGACTGAAGCGTTGTTGCATATTTTATTAGGAGCTTTGGAGTCTGTCCAGATTTCTGTTGATACCAGAACATACCCTCATCACCATCAGACCATCTGTAAACAGCTTGGTTGGTCCTACAGGTCAGAGTGACAGTGTTTGAAGGAGTAAATGTCACTGCTGGAGGTTGAGTCACAGTCACCTGACCGCTGCCTCCTGCAGACAAAAACAAATCATTCATTTATCAGCAGAAATCAATGAGAGAAAAAGCAGCACATCATGTTTGAAATGTTGCTGAGTGAATGAACCTGTAAAACAGCAGCAGGTCAGCGTCCAGATGAGGATGGTGATGAGAGTCATGGCGGTTGTGCTTTCTGCTGTGTTGACTGACAGATGTGAGTCCTGCAGTGTTGAAGTCACAGGACTATAAACCTTCTCAGTTCTCTGGAGGATCAACTGATGATGCAAAGCCTCCTCTCTATGGAAATCATTTCTCTGCTCTCAACACACTGAGGGCAATGTGGGGCACAGAATCAGAAGAAAAATTGTTTGAATTAATACCATTAATAATTTTATGTAATAGAGGAAAATATATTGGAAAGATTTACGTATTTTTACCACCTGGATTAAAATGGCACTCTGGTTTGTATGTTTACTTTTTGATTTTGGTTTCAACAAATACAATATACCTGTATAGCTTTTTTAAATTATATTGTCATAGTTTCTGAATTCATGATTTTTAAAGTGTTTTTCTGTTTGCTGTTTTAAGCAGTTTTGTGTGTGTGTGTTTGTTTGTTTTTAAAATAGCTATAGGTTTATGTGAAAATTAAGTTTTGTCTTTCAGTTCTTAGTAAAAATACAATTTTGATAATTATGATTTGAATTCATTAAATTATTTTAAGTCACTTTAGTTAAATCATTTTCTACATGTAATCAGTTGTACTGTGATGTTTTACATGACAAAAAGGTTAATTTTCAGTGGTTAGTGGTTTGTTCGGAGTGCAGGAGGTTTTTGTACGGCCACTTAATGAGTTTGTATCACTGTGGTACACATTTGGCGGAGGAACCAAACTCATCGTTGGCTGTAAGTACCAGAAATTTGTCATTTTTATAAAATGTAGTATTTATTAAGCATTTTTTAAAAATATATTAAACAGAACTTTGATCAAATTCAATGATTATTATTAACTCAATGTCATAATTTTATAATAAACTTTTCTTCAATCAATATTCATTCAGTCTTTTAAAGAACTGAATTTACAGAAAACAATTTTTAATGTTCTTTTGGTTGTTTTTTGCTTCTTTAAATATTATCCGGTTAAAATATTAAAATCTGTGATAGTGAAGTTTTAGCTCACTTTAAATTAAAATGTATTTTTACTTATTTAAAGTAAAAACAAATATTGAATTATGTTTTGTCGACTTAAATTTTTTTACTAAGTATACTTACATCAAGTTTTTATTCATGGCTGATCAATTTGAAATTAAGTTTAAAGGAAGTGAAAGAAACAGATGTGAAGTTTTAACTGTATTCTCATGAGTGCTTTAGCTTTGTCAGTTTCAAATATGAAAATAATCACAGGTTCAAGTTATTAACTACATGATAAAAAAAGATTTGATCAATAATCACTGACTATATATTTATTCAGATGTTTGTACATTTGTATCTCTTTTCTCGATTATCTTCAACCTTTTCTCCTCCAGCGGGTGTGGTGAGGCCCACCCTCACAGTCCTCCCTCCCTCCAAAGACGAAGACAAACAGAGTAGTGCCACTGTGGTGTGTTTGGCAACCGGGGGTTTCCCCTCAAACTGGAATTTGGGCTGGAAGGTGGGGAGCACCAGCACATCCTCAGGGGTGTCAACCAGCCTGGAGGTCTTGGGGACAGACGGCCGCTACAGCTGGAGCAGCACCCTGAGCCTCTCCGCAGACCAGTGGAGGAAGGCGGGCTCAGTGAGCTGTGAGGCCAGTCTGAGTGGACAGAGCCCCGTCACTCAAACCCTGGACCCTGACCACTGCTAAGAGTAGAGCTTCAGCAACATTTCCTGTCTGCATATGATGTGTTTTATAGTTTGATGAAGCTACATGTTTCTGTTCTTGCAATATCTCTGCAAACATTTGACTCTCTATTGATGTGCATGCTAATTTGAGCAGCTATTATTATCCATGTTGTTCTTTAAAACCGTGCTGTAAAAAAAAGTCTAAATCACAAAATAAAATCACAGCTTAAGAAAAATCACTTTTCTTTGGTCCTTTTCACAATACTTTATCAAATATAAATGCTTTATCAAACCCGTACCTGTTTTTTAACAAGGAGAAGCACCACAGTCTTTGGAAAAAACTCACAAAAAGCCCAGCCTCCAGGAGGCTCCAACTGGAGCAGCCGTTTCTGCAGGTGTTTTTTTAAAGGGAAGCTAAGTCTCTTCGTTAACTAGCTTGGTTGTTCTACAAACAGGTGGTGGCACACAATGAGCAGGTTCAGACTGATCACATGGGAAAACACTAAACTCAGTCTTAAACAAAATTCTTCATCATCTAGAACGGCTTTGGCAAAAGAAATATAGAGCTATATGAGGTTAAAACATGACAATTTTATTGTTCTAACAATATAATTTTCACATTTGAAGTCTCACGCCCTGAGTCAGAAAATCCAACATCACAATCTGAGTTATAGAAAACATCATTTTGCTGTACTTTTCAGTGTGAGTGAATGAACAGTTCAGACACTCAGTGCCAGAAGAACTTAAACTCTGAGAAGCAATGAGGCATAAAAATCATGCAAAACACATTTAAGGAGGCAAACACACATCTGTTCTTGTAAAGTAGAAAGGGTAGGTATCATGAATGTTCATGTGATTGAGCTGACATATTATTTTGTGTTTTTTCTCCTTGATACAGTTTCACTTTTGTCTTTTGTCTTCTTCCTAATGGTAAAATAAGCAGCAACATGGCAAAACATACTGTCCAAAGTCCTGATGTGAAAAAATGTTTTTTCTCCTCTTTGTCACACATAAATTCAGACAGAATGCTGGAATAATGGGTTTTATCTTAATATCGCTGTACTTTAAATCTTCGTGTGGTTGGACTTTATTACTCTCGAGTGAAAGGCTGTCCAGCTTTTTACCCATTTCTCCTTGTTACAGCTCTAGCAGTTTGTGTGTTGTGTGGGTGTGCCCAGTCTCTTCCAGGAGCTCAGCTGCCACCCATTTCTCCTGAGGAACCAGTGCACTACTGTATTCATTCAGCAATCAGCTACCCAGAACTATAGAAGCCAGTGAAGCACTGCTGACTCAGCGAGTGGGCCAGCTTTGGGTGTTGAGCACCTACTGAGTATCTGGTCTGTGCTGGCAGCAGAAGTAAACCTGTAACTTGGTTAAGTATCTTGTTTTCTTTTCCCAGGATATTTTAGGTTGTGGTTGTTTTTGGTTTGGTTGAAACAGTGGTCTAACTCTTTCTTTGAGTGAATCCCTTTTAATAAAACTTATTAAAAAGCTATGCTGTGAGGGTAGTTGCAGGGGCATCCAAAATGAACACAGGAAGTCGCGTCTCTCTACATGAGCCAGTGTGCAGGGTACAACACTACTATACTGTTGCCAACAACAACTTGGAGAGTCAGAGTGCATCTGGAAAGTATTCAGTGCTTCAGTTCCATATTTTTGTCATTTTCACCTTAAAATCCTAAGCAATACCCCATAATGATGAAGAGAGAAAAGGCTGCATTAAATTGCATTAAAAAATGAAATAAAAAAGGCAAATATGACATGTATAAATATTCACAGCCTTTGCTCACTACTTTTTTTCTGTAATGATGTAGTATTTTTTTAAAGTTTCTCAAATTCTTCCCCTCAAGTTCAGTGAATTTGGATCACTACTGTCAGTGCACAACCATTTTCAGATCCCTTCAGACATATTCAGTCAGGTTCAAGTATGGCTCTGGCTGGGACACTCAAGGAGCTTCATAGAGTGGTTCCGAAGCGACTCCTGTTATCTTGGCTGTGTTCTTAGGGTCATTGTCCTGTTGGAAGATGAACCTTCACACCAGTCATCTGACCGCTCTGCTGTACTTGCCTGATTGGTGGAGTGCCGTAGAAGGTGGTTCTCTCTCCATAGCCTCTGACAAAGCTCTATCAGGTTCTTGGTCAGGAAGCCTGCTGTACGAAGAGTCCTGGTGGTTCCAAATTTAGTTGTTTTAGCTATGATGTGTTACGTTTCGGTGTTGTCAGTGTTTTGTTTTTGCGTGACTGTCATGTGTTTCCTGTTTTACTTTGAAGGTCTGTTGTTATCTTAGTGTGTTCAGTTTACGTTTCCTTGTCTCGTCAGGTCTAATTTGCCCCAGCTGTGTTTCCCTCCTGTGGTCCATTCCCTGATTGCTCCTTCTATGTATTTAATGACAATGTGGAGGAAAAAAAGCTTTTGTTTAAAACTGAAAAAAATATATAACAAGTATTCACAGCCTATGCTGCAACACCCAAATCATGTCCAATCAACTAAATTTACCACAGTTGCACTTGTTATGGAAAATTTAACAACAACCTGCAACACACCCAGTGAGCTTGATGTGAAGTTGTAGAAACATCTACCAGATTATCTTTTGAAACGTGATGCACCTGACCTAAATTTTGAGTGTCATGGTAAAGGCCGTTTCTTTTTTTATAATAAATTAGTAAGAATTGCAAGTATACATTTTGTCATTTTGTTATAATGGAGTGTTTTGTGTAGAATTTTAACATCGAAGACTTAATTCAGCTTTGGAATAAGGCTGTAATGTGACACATTACAGAACAATTAAAGTACTGTAGATACTTTCCTTATGCACTGTAAATGAAGCCACCAGTTTTTTTTATTCATGTGATTATTATTGCTAATAATGTTTTTGGTCTTTGATATAAATCAGTAGAAATCGTATGGTTTCAACCAACGTGTTGTGGAGAGTCAATAGTTTGACTGTTGAGGAAATTGTTCTTGTTTTTCTTTTGTTTTGTTTTGTTTATACACGTGAGTTCATACAGTATTGAAAAATCTGATCATTTTGCTTTATAATCATCAAGAAGCTTAATGGGAATATAAATATAAAGAGAAATCTGATCTGTTTGTATAATTTGCCAACTCTTCATGTAAATAGTTGGAAATGCAATGACAAAGTAACTTTGTGGATTTTTTTTTAATTCCTTTCTAAAATCACCCCAAACAAATCTATCTGTGTTCACTGGTCTGTGTCACAGTTTCTTCCTCTTCAGCAGCTGTACTCAGTTCCTGCTGTAACAGCTCAGTTTCTCTGCAGTCTGACTGAGGGAGGTTTTTGTACAACTACAAAACACTGTGTGAACACATTAGCACTGTTTATGTAGTGGTAACTCTGACAGTAGTAAACTGCTGCATCTTCAGCCTGAACTCCACTGATGGTCATAGAGAAGTCAGAGCTGCTTCCACTGCCACTAAATCGAGTTGGTGTTCCTGAATGTCTTATGCTTACATGTCGAATTAGGAGCTTTGTAATTTGCCCAGATTTCTGTTGATACCAGAACATACACTGGCCGTAACTACAGCCACCAACAGCTTGGCTGGTCCTACAGGTCAGAGTGACAGTGTTTCCAGGAGTAGATGTCAGTACTGGAGGTTGAGTCACAGTCACCTGACCGCTGCATCCTGCAGACAAAAACAAATCATTCATTTATCAGCAGAAATCAATGAGAGAAAAAGCAGCACATCATGTTTGAAATGTTGCTGAGTGAATGAACCTGTAAAACAGCAGCAGGTCAGCGTCCAGATGAGGATGGTGATGAGAGTCATGGTGGTTGTGCTTTCTGCTGTGTTGACTGACAGATGTGAGTCCTGCAGTGTTGAACTCACAGGACTATAAACCTTCTCAGTTCTCTGGAGGATCAGCTGATGATGCAAAGCCTCCTCTCTATGGAAATCATTTCTCTGCTCTCAAAACACTGAAGGCAAGAAGGGACGCAAAGTCAGAAGAAAAATTGTTTGGATTAATACTATTATACATAAAACTTGAATGATACCACTGACGTCTTATGGAATAGAGTAAAATATACAGAAAAATAATCCAGCATTTTTAATATCTGGATCAAAACAGCACTTTGGTTAGTAAGCTTACTTCACACTATTGGTACACATTACACCTCTATTGCTGTCCAAAGTATATTGCCAAAATCTCATAATTCATGTTTTAGAAACATTTTAGTTTCTGTGTTTTTCTTTTTTCTTTTTGCTGATATAGCTTTATTTCATTTGACAATCTTTTGTCTTTCAATTGGTAATAGTCCAAATAAAATTATGAAAATGACTAAAAATCATCAACAAATTTAAGTTATATTATTATATATTAACAATATTTCATGCCTGTGAAGCTTTTTATACTTTGATGAAGCTACATGTCTCCTCTGTTGCGATATTTCTGCAGACGTTTGACTCTATTAATCTAAATGCAGAATTCATCAGCTATTTATATTATATTGTGCTTTAAAACCATGCTGTGAGAAAGAGAAAACAAGTCTATATCACAAAATAACATCGCAGCTTGTGAAAAATCACTTTTGTGTTATTGTTTTTCCATTACTTTGCATAGAAATACTTGATCAAACCTCCATATTTCTCTTAGATATTTATACATTTACATTTATACATTTATGTATGTAAATATAAAAATACAGAAATATTTCTTTATACATATTAGTTTCTATCGGGGCACCTAACAGACCTGCACATGATGTTTTGTTCATTGAGATATATTTAAGTATTTTTTTTTATAAATAAAGCTGTGTATTTCTTCAGTTTTGTTTAGATTCTTTGTGTTTTTGCTTTTGTGGTGTCGAGTTGATCAGTTATTGCAGTCTGTCACTCTGCACCTGCAGCCTTCAGCCAGACTGAAGGAGGTTTTTGTACAGCTCTAAATCACTGTGTGAACACTCCACCACCATGGTAGCCCAGACAGTAATAATCTCCAGCATCTTCAGACTGAAACCCACTGATGGTTAAAGTGTACTGAGAACCAGATCTGCTGCCACTGAATCGAGACTGAGTTCCTGAGGAGAGACTTGATGCTTTGTATATAAGGAGTTTGGGAGGCTGTCCAGGTTTCTGAAGGTACCAACTGAGATCAGCACCAATATTTGAACTTCCTTTGGCGCTGATGGTCACAGTCCCACCAAGACTGACAGACTTGACTTCATCAGTCTGAGTCAGAAAATTATTGGCAAATGACTCTGAAATGAAAGGAAAAACATTTTAAAATGTATTTTTATTCACCAAAAACTTCAGAATGAATGTACTCATAAAACAAGCTGAGTAAATTTCACCAAACAACATTCTCCTGAAATATTATTATTAGGTTTTTTTTTTATCTCTCACCCTGACTCAGAAAGCCTAACAAAAGAACCAACATTGGAAACACCATCCTGACTCAGTTTTCAGTGGAAGTGCATGAGAGCATGTGTGACAGCAGAACTTAAACTGTGAGGAGCAGTGATGCATGAAAGTGTGCAAAACACACTGTAGGAGGAAACCACCCACCTCTCCCAATGAAACAGAAAACACAGAGGTCATGTGAGGAGAGGATCGTTCAACTTTTCATTATATTTGCTCATTAACAGCTGCATGGTTCCCCTACTGTCATACATCTGACACTAAAGACACTGATTGATTTTGATTATTCTGACAAACTGAACTTTATTTTGAAAAAAAGAAATATATGAATAGTGGTTTAAAGGAATGAATAACAAGCTGGTCTAACATTACTCAATTCTCTAAATAGTTTAGTCCTGTACAGCTCTCTAAAGCCCTGAGAAAGGGGGTTTATGCTCCATAGTAAAAGCCATAACTCAGGTATTTGATATTTTGAACCATGTACAGATGAACTGTATCTTCTCTGAAAAAAATAAATAAATAAAAAACTTGACTTGTCCTCTAATTTCCTCCACGCAGCTATTTTTTTCTCAGACTGTATTGCCGTTACTTTGATGACCCCAAATTTTACTGAGAAAGAATGAGTAACATATTTTAATATTTTATATTTTTTTATAACACACTCTTCAGTTTCAGATGCTTTTTGAATTCCTGAAAATAACTGCATTATTATTGCATTAACATGATGATGTTGGCATTTTGCTTAAACCTCACAGAGTTGTTTGACTGTAAACTCATCTGATAATAATTATTGAAGCTCAAAAAGACCAAATCCTCAGATTGTGAGGTAAAACGTGTTTTTCTTTAACATACTAACTACTAATCTAGCAGGTTGTATATCGTTAGCTTCATAGCATAAGTGCCTAAGTCATTGACTTAGTCAAATGACTTAGGCAATTATGCTATGAAGCTAACGATATGTTACTGCATGTTTAATTTTAAAGTCAGGTCTCTGTCTATGGCGGGGTCCCCAATCCCAGTCCACGAGGGCCGGTGTCCCTGCAGGTTTAAGATATGTCCTTGATCTATCATAGCTTAAATGGATAAATTCCCTCCTCAACATGTCTTGAAGTTCTCCAGAGGCCTGGTAATGAACTAATCATGTGATTCAGGTGTGTTGACCCAGGGTGATATCTAAAACCTGCAGGGACACCAGCCCTCGTGGACTGGGATTGGGGACCCTGGTTAATCTAATCCCCCAAAAAATCAGTATTCTGGAGTGCTGTCTCTAATCTCCTCCAAGAGATCATCGCTGCAGCACATCAATCCCTAACCAGTTTAATTTGATATTAGTTTTAACTGTACCAATGTGCTTGTTCTCACACATCGGTTTCAACACAGTAGTAATCTAGATCTTCAGCCTAAACTCCACTGATTGTTAGTGTTAATTCAAGTATGGATCTGATTCTGCTGAAACAACAAAGATCTAATAAACAGACACTAACTTATTTTGTCAGTACTGAGTTGAGGTAATTACAGATTTCTGTGCTGGCTGTGCAGCTCAGAGAGACGGGCTTATACACGTATAGACAGCTGTCCACCCAGCAAAATATTAAAAATTGTCATTTTACACAAGGACAAACATTTCTATATGATACTGAAACTATAGAAAACTATTTTGCATTCAGGGTGTGCGACAGATATTCAAATTAATGCATGGGTCAGTGAGCACACACCTGCACCTATGAAGTCTGGGTGGATATTGTACATTGCTGCTGTACAAATAGTGCCCTCTTATGTCAAAATAAGAGAACACACATGAAATTGACTCTTATACATGGATCCAAAAAGCAGACTGCACATCCATGCAGGGCACATTTTTTTTCCTTCTGATCAATTTTAATTTTAAAAAAAATAATTTCTGTTTGAACATGTTTTGTATGACTGTGTCTTATTTTGTGCCTTTTGCATTTGATGTATTTCTTTATAGTGTGTTTGTATAATTTGGCTTGTTTGGTTATTTGCATTTCCTTATATAGTTTTATGCCATTTTGCAATTTTTGTATAAATGTGGGCTTTTTGTGGTTATTTTATACTTTGTATGTTTTGTCATGTTTTCATTGTGGGTTTTTTGTCCTTGTTCACACTTCTGTTTACTGTCTTTGCACTGACTTACTGTGAACACCTTTCTTTTGTGTTCAGTTCTTCACCTAGGAGGTCAAAACCTTTTTTCCACATTTTGTATGTTACAGTCTCTTTGTGAGGAAGGGTACAGAAAAATTTCTGCAGCATTGAACGTCTCAAAGAGCACAGTGGCCTCCATTCTCCCAAATATTGAAGAACTGAAACCACCATGAGTCTTTCAGACATCAGGGTAGAAGGGCCTTAGACGTGAAGCTGGCCAATAACACGATGATAGTGATTCCCCAGAAAAATGCACCTGAAGGAACTAAATTCTCTGGTCTGATGAAATAAAGAACGCTTTAACCTGAATCCCAGACATCATGCGTGGAGGAAACTTGGCACAACTCACCAGCTGACCAATGCCGTTCCTACAGCCAACTTTTGTTTTTCTTTTCAGAAAATGTGTGCAGAACATGACTTTGTGTCAGCTTTGTCTTCACTGAACTGTTTTTCTTCCTCTTCAGCAGCTGCAGTCAGTTCCTGCTGTAACAGCTCAGTTGTCTCTGCAGTCTGACTGGGGGAGAAATGTTTTCTTTTCCCAACTACGACCATTTGCACTTGGATGAGTGACGAAACATTTCTCCCACAAAACGTTACGTCCAGATCAAGAGAATCAACTTTTTGGACATTTGCAAAATATTTTATAAAATTTTGAAAAGATATTTGATCAAGTCCAGTGATCGTTGTTGATCATTTTCATTATTTATGAAACAAAGTTGATCTCACAGTCTGCCAGATAACTTCCCTAGAAACTCATTCAGTTTTACAAATATCTAATTTTATGTAGAAATGTGGATATTTTTAAATTTCTCTTAAATGTTAATTCATATCTTTTTAGTATTTTCCAATTAAGATATTTCAGGTTATTTTCAAGCCTTAATTGTCAAACAAAGTGTTTGTGGATTTATTTCTTTATTGTTTTTATTTTGAAAATGACTTTTTTCAAATAATGATTTATGGATTTCTACTAAAAAAAATTAAAGTGTCAGTAACCACAGAACAGCTTTGAGTTCATGGATGATTGATTGTGCTTGTAGTTTACTACAAGTCCCCAACAAATATGTAAACATTACACTTAAAAAACGTGCTCATGAACTTTTACTCATATTTAATGATAAATATAAAGGTTGAATCACTATAAACACAGTTGTATACTTCTTTAGTTTTATTTTTATTCAGTGTGTTTGTGGTTGATGAGTCTTGTGTTAGTGGATCAGTTATTCTCATCACAGTCCAGCACGCTGCACCTGCAGCCTTTAACCAGACTGAAGGAGGTTCTTGTACTGCTATAAATCACTGTTTAAACATCCGACTACAACGACAGCCCAAATAGTAACAATCTCCAACATCTTCAGACTGAAACCCACTGATGGTTAAAGACTGAGAACCAGATCTACTGCCACTGAATCGAGAAAAGGTTCCTGAGAAGAGATTTCATTTTCAGTATATAAGAAATTCGGTTCAAAGGTGATGCTTTTCTTTAGTGGTTACACCTGCTGTTAATCAGTTAGTTTAGATTTTAAAATTTGAGACTGTAGATTATCTATTTTAATGCTAAATTACACACATTCTTGCTGTCCATTCATTTTATATGCTTTTTTGAAGAAAAAAAAATCAGGAAGAAAAATGTTTATTGTTGTTGTTTTTTTTAGTAAGATGTCAATTTGTAGTTATTTAGTTATTTTTTTGTCTAAACAGACACGAAGGTCATTCGTGAAATAAGAGTCTTGACAGTTAAAGACAAATTTGGGCCTATTTTGGAAAAACTGCAGCATTTCCAGGATGGGATTGTAACCTCACCTGGACACACAGTACCAACCAAAACATTTACTGCAGTAAAGCCTTTGACTCCAAAACCTCCAACAGTTCCCATACCGCAAAAACGAGGACCTCGGCTTGGGACGTTGCTGCGCCGTGCAAAAGTCGTCCCTATAGACAGTAAGTGGTTTTCCTCAGTAACTGTAGAAGATGCTGAATAATCAAACTTTAAATTAAGAGATTATTTAAAAAGATTTTAATGAACAATTAATCACTGCATCATGTACAATGCTTCGAATTAGAAGAAAGTACCGTTTCTTTTTACTAACCTTGTTGATTATCAGACAAGAAAGCAGACAGTCAGTGCAGTCAGAATAATCCAAGAGAGGGCAGGGTCAAACTCCCGCCTCTAGCTACACCTGTAGAGAGCCTGTCCCACAGCTTTAGTCTGCTGTCTTCAGACGACTGGTAAGAAACGTAGTAAGGAGACATTAAATACTGCACAGAAACAGTGCTGCATAATGTGGCTGTGTTATTTGTGGTGTTCCTGAAGTCGTGTTCAATGTTGTGTTGTGTAAATACAGGATTAAGAAAAGACAGGGGTTGCAAACTATTCAGTCTCTGGCAAAGCACCACTCGGACATCCTGAAGACTAAACTGCATGAAGTGTGTCTGGTCCTCATTGAGGAGGTATTGCACACTTTATGTTTCTTATATGTGTTTCATGCAGCTAGTTTCCCTTCAAGTGCATACTACAGCCTCAACTGATGATTTTCACTCACATTTTAGGTGAAAAACCAACGCTCAGCAATAGCCTGTGAGGCCATACATGTCATCGATGAGCTCTACATTCAGCTCCAGAAAACAATGGACCCAGAAGTTGAAGCAACAGGCCGAGCTCTATTGCTGAAGCTTGCACAGACCAACAACAACTTTCTTCATCAGGAGGTCAATCTGGCGCTTGATGCCATGGTGGAAAATTGCAGCCATGGACGGATTCTGAGCGCTCTGTTTAACACAGGACTGACGTAAGAGGAGAGAAGAAGCTGTAGTGATTTTATTAGAAGACATGAAAGAGAGATCATGTTCACTGAGTTGTGTGTCTAATATTGTCCTTGCTCAGCCATCGCTGTGTCGCAGTGAGGAATAGCACGGCTCAACACCTGCACAACTGACAAACTTGGAGCAGCCGTCATCCTGAAAGCAGGAAGCTTCACTGAAAGGTTTCTAATTGCTGCCTCTAGAATGGCAGGGGATGCTGCACCTGAAGCCAGGTGGGTACTTTTAAATGGGTTTAAATGGGTTTGAAGTGCATCAAATTTATTTTCTGTGAGTTTACACAATTAATGAAAATTAATGACAACTGTAATCTTCCACAGGTACCATGGGCGAACAATCATCAAGAAACTGACCCTTCACAAGGACTTTATGAATTTGTGGATGAAGATTGTCCCTGAAAAAGACAGGCGTCCTGTGGAGAAGAGCCTGAAAAAGGCTAATAATTACAGGCAGCAGGTCAGCATCCAGACTAGGCTCTCCTCTCCAGCAGGGCCTGGGATCCCCAGATGTGACAATGCAAGTCCTGACGAGTACAGAGGAGAAGAGCGGCTGCTACAGTAGCAGCAGCACTCTGAGGCTAAGCTGGGAAAGTGGTTGGAGGTTCAACCATCATGACCACAGACAGTCCCAGTCGCTCTGCAGGAGTAAACTTCTCCATCTTCAGGACTACAAAACGATTTCTCTGAAGGACAATATTATTTAGATTTACATTAATTATTATTACATCATTCTTATTATTACATCATTTGTATTATTTCATTATTATTATCACATTTTTAAGATCCTGAATGAACAATGAATGAATAAATCCCTTTTTTTTTCATCTGAATTAAAATGGCACTTTGGTTGGCACACATACAGTTTCTGTTTTTCTGTCAACAAATATTAATACATTCGTAGTTCTCTTGTTTTCATTTTTAACCCATGATTTTGCATTTTTATCAGGATTCAAAGTCATTTTTATAACATAAAGAAATATTAAATAAATATTAAGAATTAGTATAGAAACATTTTGAAAAGAAATGAAAATGATTGGGTAGTAACCTCTTTTTTTTTCAACACAGAGGTTGTAAAATGTTAGCTTTATTCGAAAAAAGTGGTTAGATGCTTGTTCAGAGTCCAGCAGGTGTTTGTTCAGCCACTTAATGACTTTGAATCACTGTGGTGGACTTTTTGTGGAGGAACCAAACTCATCAGTGGTTATATGTACACAAATCTATCAAGAATATAACTGCAGCAACAAGACATTTAGTCTCAAGTATCAGAACTTTTATAAATCTATATTAATAGATGATGTCTGGCAAAACTTAACACCAAAATAAATCAACAGTTCACTGCGTTCACTTTAACACCGTGTTACATTCATGTTAATTAAAACATCTTTGCAGACAATAAGGTTTTTATTCAGCTCACAAAAGAAAATTGATGAACATTAATAAGGCTCATAAGTAGAACTGTGAGGTCACTTTTCATTTCCCTTCAATTCCTTTGTATAAAGTGCAGGTTTTGCAACTTTAGAAAAATAGTTGCATATTTGGAAAACATTTTTTTACCTGGTTTGTTAAATTTATTCATGAACAAAAACTTACATAAGTTACATAAATATTTAAATTCAAGTAAATGCTGCATCTAAAATCCATGACTTGATTTAATTTCTTTCATTCATTGTGTTTCTGCTTGATGACTCTGGTTGTCTTTAGTGGACCAATTATTCTCATCAGTCTCTTCATTAACAATCTGCACCTGCAGCCTTCAGTCAAAGTGAACGATGTGTTTTGTAAAGCTATAAATTACTGTGTGAACACTCCACCATCATGCCAACACAGACAGTAATAATCTGCAGCAACTCAGAAAACCCAACATGACAGTGTTATTGGAAAAATCATCCTAATGAGGTTTTCTGTGTGAGTCCATTAGAAAATCTTAAAATCTGAGGAGTAGTAAGACATAAAAATAATTATTTATTTATTCATCTAATTTTATTATCGTTCATTTTATCTATTAGACTTAGAAAGGATGCTGGAATAACATAAAAATAATTAAACATATGTAGCCTCAGGATCCTTTAACCTACCACATGAATTTTTCCTTTCGTACATTAGGTTGACAGTAATGATAGTCAGTCATGTGATTTTTGTGAGAACCACAACTTGTCAAAAACTTCTCCTGCTGGCTTCCAGCAACATGAACAACTATCTTAATATTAATGAACTATTAATGAATCTTGCTGTGGTTATGGGCAAATGTTTGACTTGTTTCCTGTTTTTACTCTAAACTGACACAACAGGCTCCTCATGTGTCTCTGCTCTCTCCTCCTCCAAGCAGCTCTCTGTGACTCAGCAATGCTGCATTTTAAAGATGAGCAGAAATAGATTAGAGACATTTTATACCTTCAAATCCGCTCTTCTACAAAAGCACTTAAGTAACAAAAAAAACCATGAGAAAAATGCAAATGAAATTTGAAAGTTTTGGAGAGAGGTGGACAAACCTCACATCAATTTTCAGTGTTTATTCTAAGCTGAACTAACAAAGTCCTCATTTGTCTCTGCTCTCACCTCCAGCAGGGCTCTTTGCTCCCCCAGTGATGATAAACCGTCAAGACAGGAGTTGAGTGTGAGATAAACAACCTGCTACTCTTAGCAATATGAGTTGTAAGGTTGGAACAAACAGCACTGCTGTACAGAGTTGGCAACATCAACTTAGAGGGTGATATGTAACTTAGCTGGTGGGTATGGATGTTGTTAAATGGTAATAGTATGATTATTACTGCAAATACAGCTTTTAATGATGAATAAGATTATCTTTGGTCTTTCAGATATAAATGTGTTGAAATAAAAAAAATCCCAACTGTAGATTCATTATTTTGACAATGATCAAGAGAAAATCAGTGTTTTTTATTCATTATACAGGTGGCAACATACAATGATAAAAATCTTAAAACAGATTGTTTTTTTATCATTACCAAGTAGCTTAATACGAATATAAATATAAACATTTATGCTTCACCTGTTTATACAAACAGCAAAACTCTTCATGTGAATGTAATGTAATTATTCAAGTAATGTAATGTTAACAGAAAATGACTTGATCACAGCAGATGTTTTTAAAATTCTTATTTCGAAATGCCTCAATAGACATGACGTGTTTAAATTAATTTCTTTATTTAGTGCTTGGTGAGGTTAATGTCTGCTCTGTGTTCACTGGTCTGTGTCAGAGTCTCTCCTACTTCAGCAGCTGCAGTCACAGCTCAGAGTCTCTGCAGTCTGACTAAAGGAGGTTTTTGTATGACTACAAATCATTGTGTGAACACTGGCCCGCTATGCACACTCTTACAGTAGTAAACTGCTGCATCTTCAGCCTGAACTCCACTAATGGTCATAGAGAAGTCAGATCTGCTTCCACTGCCACTAAATCGAGATGGTGTTCCTGAATGACTTATGCTTACATGTCGAATTAGGAGCTTTGGAGTTTGTCCAGATTTCTGTTGATACCAGAACATACACTGACCATCACCACAGCCACCAACAGCTTGGTTGGTCCTACAGGTCAGGGTGACAGTAGATCCAGGAGTAAATGTCACTACTGGAGGTTGAGTCACAGTCACCTGACCGCTGCATCCTGCAGACAGAAACAAATCATTCATTTATCAGCAGAAATCAATGAGAGAAAAAGCAGCACATCATGTTTGAAATGTTGCTGAGTGAATGAACCTGTAAAACAGCAGCAGGTCAGCGTCCAGATGAGGATGGTGATGAGAGTCATGGTGGTTGTGCTTTCTGCTGTGTTGACTGACAGATGTGAGTCCTGCAGTGTTGAAGTCACAGGACTATAAACCTTCTCAGTTCTCTGGAGGATCAGCTGATGATGCAAAGCCTCCTCTCTATGGAAATCATTTCTATGTTCTCAGCAACGAGGGACGCAAAGTCAGAAGAAAAATAGTTTGAACTAATACTATTATACATTATACAAACTTTAATGATACCACTGACTTTTTATGTAATGGAGGAAAATATAAAGAAAATATAATTCTGCATTTTTAATATCTGGATTAAAACAGCACTTTGGTTGGTAAGCTTACTTCATACTTTTGGTAACAGACATTGCGCCTCTATTGTTGTTCTAAATATATTGCCAAAATCTCATAATTCATGTTTTAGCATTTTACAGTTTCTTAGCTTTTCTTTTTCTTTTTTTTTTTCTTTTTTCATTCTTTCATTCACCGATTTATTTCTTTTCCTCAGACCACGCCGGATCTGTTAATATCAACAACGCTGCACACTCAGAATTGTACAGCTGATTCTTCCCTTCAGACCGCACTGGATCTGTTACTTCAGCACAATAAACACTGATTTTCCTTCAAAATCAGTTTACCAAGAGCCACAAAACCATTTCTGACTTGATTTTCTGAAATTCTGTGTCACTTAAACATCCTGACCGCACCAGGTGTTTTCTGTCGGACTTCCTCGTCCGGTATTACTCTTTTTCTCACAAATAAGTTTTTCTCAAAATGATCCTCTGACCATTAGTTATTTCTGAGGCCACAAATCTCAGCAGCGCCACCTGAGTAAAATCTTAGTAAACGTCTTTACTAAGGAGGACGTTTTTCAACTTTGTGACCAAACACTTATTGAACCATAAACTGACCAATAACTCTTATATTCTCTTATTCTTTAATCACACATTGGTCTCTTCCATCCATCCATCCATTCATTCACTTCCGCTTATCCTTTTCAGGGTCGCGGGGGGCGCTGGAGCCTATCCCAGCTGTCATAGGGCGAGAGGCGGGGTACACCCTGGACAGGTCGCCAGTCTGTCGCAAGGCTAACACACAGGGACAAACAACCATTCGCACTCACATTCATACCTAGTGACAATTTGGGTTATCCAATTAACCTATCCCCACAAGCTGCATGTCTTTGGACGGTGGGAGGAAGCCGGAGTACCCGGAGAGAACCCACGCAAACACGGGGAGAACATGCAAACTCCACACAGAAAGACCCCGGCCTGGTGTTGGAATTGAACTCAGGACCTTCTTGCTGTGCGGCAACAGTGCTAACCACCGTGCCACCGTGCTGCCCCACATTGGTCTCTTTTCTCTCCTATTTCCTCATAACATCTCATGTTACTTTTATCTCAGTACTGTCTTTTTCTCAAAGTTTCATTATCCTTACTTCAAAGCTTCTCATTACGTCAAAGCTCCCCTTCATCACGGTGTTAATGTTATGCTAACATAGCTGTTTCGCTAGTCACATAGCACATCACTATATACCAGCTAGCCAAACTTCAGTAACCCTACAAACATCACTGCTGCTTACTTTCCTGTCTTCATGTATGTCCGAAGTGATAGCAGAGCTGTGCCTTTTAATTTGTTTTAGAAATCCCTCAGTCAGAACCTGGTATATTATATTTAGATGGAAACTAGCGAGCTAACTCTCTGCTAACTTCTAACTCCGTTACATTTCCGTTACTGCAAGTGTGGCTGTGCACGGTGTGGACTTTAAATATACCACTGCCTCAGAGGGCAGTGGCTCGAATCCCATGCAGACCATTAATTGGGGAAGTGTGCTGAATAAAAAAAATTTAAAAAAAAAAATCCCTGGCTCTGAAATTCACCTGCTATGCTTGCTTGGATGGGTTCTCTCTGCCTTTTACCGCTGTCTGAAAATCACTTTTCCCTCAATCAATATTGGTTGTTATGGTTGCTATGGACCGCCAAACACGCTTTTCTTCATGTCCAAACAAACGCTCAATTTTGCCTTCATTAACACAAATTATACATCAAAACATAGGTATTTTTCTTGCCTTTCACAAAATGGCACTGTCATCATTGTAGGAGTTGCCGTTTTCTCGCAAATGGCCTCGAAGCAACACAGTTAAAAAAAATGTCCACATACAAAGTATATGGAGATTTGAGTGAAAATGACAGCTGAAATTCTGTAACAGAGGCGTTTTCAACTCGTCATATCTTCTAGATATATTTTTCTTTAGAGACCTGAAAACCGCCTTGATTTTTTTTTTATTTTTATTAAAGCATGCTGATTGTTGCAGTGAAAGAATGATGTCGACAGCCCGTGTACTTTTGGAGTTACAGAACATTTTGTAACACGAAGAAACAGCAATTTTCACCTCTCAGTTGTGGTAAACGCTTGAAATATATTATGGAGAACGCGCTTTGGGAGCCAGAGACCCGGGTTGAAATCTAGCCAATGGCAGTATCTAATATCTTTCCCTAATTCACTTTATAATTACAAATTCTCAACACTTGAACATTCCCACGAGTGCTCTGATCAAAACAGTGCAAGAATGAGCTCTTTAGCTTTTGATTTTCAACTTATCCACATTTCTTTGCGGACACTCCTGCATGTCACAAATACATTGCACAAAGCGCATCTGTGGCTGTGTACCATTTGTGGTGCGTTGGCTTCCTCTGCTGGTACGCGCCTCATTCAAATGTCGCCGCACATTTAAAAATGCAGGGTGTCTTTACACTGTCATAGCTCCTAGATAGATTTCTTAAGAGACCTGAAAATCACTGTGATTATTCACCATAGCCTGCTGAGTCTTACAGTGAAAGAACGATGTCAACGTATAGCATTGTCGGTTACTTTAATTGTGTTTGGGGGGTTTTTTATCAAATCCTACAAAACAGGACCATTGTGACACAAAACCTCTCACCAGTGTTGGGGAGTAACGGAATACATGTACCGCCGTTACGTATTTAGAATACAAAATATGAGTAACTGTATTCCGTTACAGTTACCGTTTAAAAAAGTGGTATTCAGAATACAGTTACTTTGTTGAAATAAATGGAATACACTGGGGTACTTTCCTGTTTCATTTTGTCGCGGGTCAGGACTGTTTGGGTTTTGTTTGACAGCTACGTTCTGTAGTTCCAGGCGGCAGCGTTACCGTTGCCATGGTTACAGGGCGACGCGCTCTCTCTCTCTGCGACTGTGTGTTTCCTGGGTGAGAGAGCGCCTTTTCGTTGTTGTTGTTGTTGTTGTTGTGCTAAGCTAACAGGCAGAATGCTACAAGCATAGCTCTAAAGAATGTAGCATCATGTTCAGTGTAGTCCGTGCTGCTGGGAGAATGGACTGCCATACACGTTATGTGTCTGTGAGCGCTAGGAGGGAGAAAAAAGGGAGTGGAAAGGTACGAGCAGTCATCGAGCAAAAACGGGAGCTGGAAGCATGTAAATATAATAATAACCACTGCAGCCAAGAAGAGCCTGACGAGCCCAGTTGTAAGTAAGTGTTGCAGGAATTGCTGTCTTGTGTGTGACTGGGTGCAGTAAGGAGTGTATGTAATGTGTGTGTGAGCATGCGCGTGAAGGAAACGCGGGGAGCGAAAGAGGAAAAAAGAGAGTGAGAGAGTGTGTCATGGGTAGAGGGCGACCGGGAGCAGCGTTCTAACGGGCTACAGGCTATGCAGTGTGTTTCCAAAGTGTGCAGTACTGTTATTAAAGCCTCATCTCTTCAGTACTCTCCGGTGCCTCGGCTGATTTCTGTCTGCCTCACTACTCCACAAAAGTGAAGGGAGTTAACCCCGAAGGAGGACAAACTTCGGCCCTGGAGGAAGCATCTCCCCTCGTGTCTCCCGACCACGGTCAGGGGACTGACGGCGAGGAATGGTTAACATAAGCTATTAAGACTCGACTGTACACTGTGTTCGTGTTTTCCTCCGAAAACAACAAGTTCCGTTGGAGCAGCCTTTCAACGCCTCTCTCTGTCTGTCGCAAGAAAAGTTGACCCACACAACAAAGTAGAGCTATTTTTCGGCTACCAGCCGACAGGGACCCCGCCGTATTATGCTGGGCTTACACTGTGCGATTTTTTTCAGTCGCGCGATTCAGCTCCTGCTCAAACTGTACAATTGACTCGCAGGGGTTAGAAGTTCATAGGTCACGATGCAGGGTCTCACACTATACGGCCCGATGCTCTGATGCGACCTGAGTGCTCACACTGTGCGTCCATAAAAATGAAGGTTATAACATAAATTCTGTCGCTCGCTCTCCCTCTCCGTCTTTCACTCACACAGACACACCACCACCATCAACTTTGCTAAATTGCTAATGAAAAACATTGGTCAGGCAGCTGTGATTGAGCAGCAGTGTCGATCCAACTATTTTCACGGTTGTTGTGGTCGTGATAATTTTGTAAGGCCACATCGAAAGGGCTCGGATGGTTCTACAGGTTGTGCCTCCCTCGCTTGTGTCCAGATCACACGCTGCACTGCCGTGCTACGCCGTCTTTTTCGCTGACATTTGTGTTTGCGCGTGCGCAGTGTGGCAAACTGCGGTGACACCCTCACGACCAAGCGATTGATGATCGGGAGCTGGTCGTGAGGTGTCAATCGCTTCTCGTTACCCCACGTATACTACACGATGCACGACGCACAATGAAGGCCAAAATCGGGCCGATCGCCAAAACGATCACACGACTCAAAAATCGGCTCAAAATGGGCCAAAAATCGCACAGTGTGAGCCCAGCATTAGTCAGAGGTCCCTTTACTACAGTTCGGAGTCGCGGACCTTCAGTAATAGTAATAAATCACACAGCAATAGTACATTCACGTTGTTGTAAAAAGCATGATAATATTGTAGCGGGTCAGGGCTGTTCGGGGTTCTGCTTGTACAGTTATGTTTTGTGTATGTTGCCATGGTGACGGGTGACGCCCTCTCGCTGCGACGGTGTGTCCTTCCGGGGTCAGAGGGCGCCCTATGTGTGTTGTGGTTGCCACGCTGAGCAGTTAGCTAGTGGCAGTGTGTTCTTCTGCAAATGTTATAAACGGCTGTGCTCCCTGGCTAGCTCACGGGAAGCAAGACCAAACGATACCTCCGTCTCCTCCTTGTCTGAACTCGCCACAATATATTAA